TTTAGGATGATGCTAGCCTGAGGTTTAGCATATATAGCTTTTACAATGTTGAGGTAAGTTCCTGATATCCCTAGTTTTTCTAATGTTTTGAACATAAAGGGATGTTGTATTTTGTCAAATGCTTTTTCTGCATCTATCGAGATGATCATATGGTTCTTGTCTTTAAGCTTATTGATGTGGTGAATAGCATGTATTGATTTCCGTATATTGAACCATAATCTGCATTTTTTTAATATTTATTTTTTAATTGTAGTTCACTTATACCTTTATTTCACTTTATTTCACTTATGTATTTTTATGTAGTGCTGAGGATTGAACCCAGGGTCTCGCACTTTCAAGGCGAGTGCTCTACTGTTGAGCTGCAACCCCAGCCCAGTAATTTCTCTTTTTAATAAGCTCTCTGGGTCATTCTTAGGTGTGCTAAGATTTTAGAGGCTCTGTTCTGTAGTATATGGCACTTACTGCTTTCTAGAGTTATCTCCTATTTGCATATGTTGTCTCTCACCTAGAAAAGATTTCCTAGGGCGAGGTTTCTTCTTAGCTATGTGGCTATTGTAGTTTCCAGTTAAAAATTAGTTGAGATGGGAAAGTATGAGTCTAGTTCTGATTTCAAATAATAAATAATTGCTACCATTTCTTGAACACCAGTTACATGCTCTGAGCATTTTCATCTGTTACATGATAACACTGCAGAGTACCCTTTTGAAATAAACAGTTTGCAAAGGAGGCTTAGGGAGATTAAATGCCTCAAGGGCACAGAACTAGAAATGGCAGAATTGAATTTGCTCTCAGGTGTGACTGATTCTGAAGTCCAAACTCGTTTCAGGATCTCTAACCTGACTCTCATCTGTCACTACCCTAGTTAGGGATTCAAAAGATACAGTCCCTCTACTCTCCCTGCTTTGAATCCTCAGTGGACATTCAAGGCATGGGTATAGCTGGTGCATGGGTATAGTTTAGATACATTCTTGGCTGTTGAAAAGTCTTTTGAAAGAGTCAGGCCAAAAATTCAAATTCTTCAGTAACTCTAGAACTCCCACCTGTTGTGCAGATAACTTCCTGAGTTAGCTAGAGACAGTGTAGTCTGCAAACAGCTTATCAAAAATCTGTCCCAGCTGTCCCTCTGGCTTGCATTTTGTAGATACAGTTGAATTAAGTAGTATCAAAACAAACCTTTCAAGAGAGAAAGAGAGAAGAAAGGAGGCCTGATCATTGTAAATGTGGCAAAGAGGGTCATTGTCATGCCTCTAGCCAGGCATTGCTGTTCCGAGCCCAGGGCTGGCTGGTTTCCTCTGTCCAGCCCTGTTTTCATAGGAGATACACATAGTGTCCGGCATGCGGGTTTAGTGACCTTCTGGCACCGCTCTGCCTGCTCTCCTGTGGATGTGGTTGCTTTCTTGTTCTTGGGCACTATAAGAAGCTGAGCTGGGTGTCAGGGCATCGTGGGCCCAGAGAACAGGGCACACCCAACAGCAGTGGACCTCTTCTCCACAGCTCTTCACCAGGAAGGCACATCCTGATGCAGAGCCACTCTAACTTTGAAGTAGGAGATCAGGACACTCATGAGCTGTTTTCCTCCTGAGGCCCAGTCAGAGGGCAGAATCCCAAGGACACCTGCTTCTTGGACTTCTTAAAACTCAGGGCTTCAAAGTGCAATACGGCTCAGGTGCACTCATGAAAAGATTTTAACGTTAGACACCTTTCGAATTGTCACAAAGACATCTCTCATTTACTATATATTTTGAACCAAAACATTGCATCTGAACCCAAGCTTGTTCTTTTTTCCCAAGGTGAGAAAATCTTAACACCATTTAGAAAATGTTCCAAACCCAGGCTCACACTTTTATCTTCATCTCCTCAAGGCAAGATAATCACAAATAGAACTTCAGGAAACCTCTATGTTACTCAAAGTCTGAGTTAAAACACGAATCAGTCTGTTTCCATTGTCATGTTGCTACTTAGAGCTAACTTGGGGGTCATCTCCACTCCTTTGTGTGATGTTGTTTTCAAATGTTCTCTGCAGGTATTGATTCTAGGAATGGAATTCCAGAGTTCACTCCAGGGGACAATCCATATATGTTCCCAGAACAGAGTAAAGGCTTCCACAAAGTAGGATCCACTCTGCCACCAGTGAACTTTTCATTGTGAGTGCGTGTTAATTCCAGAGTTACTTTATTGACTTTAAAGGATTTATGTCTATCTTCTACATATAAATTATATTTTTAAAGGGGTGTATCTCAGCAAGACATAATCTGGTAAAATTTTTATCTTTAGTTAATTAGTGTATGCACACATGTGAAATTACAAAATACACAAGATGAAAAGAATTTAAAAATTCAACTTACACATAGTAATTGCACATATTTATGGGGTACAGTGTGATATTTCAAGATGTATCTACAACTGTATGCAAGGTCTTGACTGAAAAAAAGTGGTTGTCATTTTTTTCCCTATTTCTAGGTTTTTGAATTTTTATACGAAATTAGATTGTTGGTTACTGACTACTTGGTTGATTTAAACTTGGAAGTAAACTAAGGCCCTAGTGATTTAGGAGAACAAGAGAATCACTACATTAAAACAGTTGCAGCATCGATTTAAAATAAAAGTTTAAAAATTAACCATGTGAGATATAATAATTTTGATTAAATAAAAATATAAAAGTTATAACCTTTAGAGTTTTTGAAGGTCGTACTTGAAAATTAAAACAGGAAAACAAGACATTTTTGAACATAATAATTTATTAATCTCTATGCTGTTGAAAGCCATATCAATTTTATGGTTGCTTTTTCTGTTTTTCAGAGTGCCTTATGAAAAGAAATTTGATACATTTATTCCACTTGAGCCTCTTCCACAAGTTCCCAAGTGAGTTTCTCACCAAATTTTATGTTATCTCATCTTTATGAAAATATCAGTTATTTATTATTTCCTCCTATTGAGGAGTCTGTAACAATCAACACCTAGGGAGGGACCTTTTGAATCTGGCAGTAGGGTGGGGTAATTTGTGAGGAGGGCATTTGAAGGGACACATAGAGGTCAAATGTTTGTGGCATCTGGCCACTGGGGTGGGCATATATTCAAGAGATGTGATTAGCAAATGATCACATCCATATGCTGTGTTAAGTGTGCATGATAGGAGAGTTTACATGGAGCAAATAGACAGGCTCCTTGCTTCCAGAACAGAGAGAAAGTAGCAGAGCACTCCTGTATCCGAGGGGACCATCATTCCTCTGCCTTTATACATTTATTCAGCTCCCCTCTGAACCTCATTTATTTACCTAAGTAGGTTTCTGACTGAGGAGGAGTATTGAAAAAGAAAGATCTATCTTTTTTTCATTCTTTTGCTTTCTAACACAAACATATAAGTATGGATAAAGTAAGCAAATATCCAAGAATCTGACCTACCAGAGTTCAGGGTGGTTGAAACAAACCCGGAGCTCGGTGGGAAAATATATGCCCTTTATTTCAAACTTGGGAGCTTTTTTTAAAAAAATATTTTTTTAGTTGTAGAGGGACACAATACCTTTATTTTATTTATTTTTATGAGTGCTGAGGATCGAACCCAGGGCCACACATGTGCTACGTGAGCACTCTACCACTGAGCCACAACCCCAGCCCACAGACTTAGGAGCCTTAATACCTTCCTTATGTTGCATTATTACTTACAGCACATACTTGGGGTTTATGGTCGTACTCTACATTTTTAAAAATACTATGCTAGAACATTCAAAATAATAATTGCCTAAATTTCATCATCCTACCCAACTATTTTAGCTTTTTTTAATATTTATTTTTTTAGTTGTAGTTGGACACAATACCTTTATTTATTAATATGTGGTGCTGAGAATTGAACCCAGGCCTCACATGTGCTAATAAGCAAGCACACCACTGCTGAGTCACAACCCCAGTCCATATTTTAACTTTTGTATGTTGCCTTTCATATTTTCATATCCATGCATAGTTCATATTGCATGGATAAATAGAATAGCAATGTGCTTGGTTTTCCTAAAACAAAGGTAAGTATTTTTTATTTTTGAGAAGGACAAAACACTGTAGACCAACATATTCTTTTGAGCTGTGGTCAGTAAGAGAATTGGGAAACTTGAGCCCTTTCCCTGGACAGTTACCCTGAATGAAATATCTGCCAATCTGTTAGTCATGGCAGGAGATAGGAAAGCCTTTGGTTTACCATTTACCATTTGTTGTTTTCTCAGTTCATTATTTTCTTTGGCATTCTAATTTCGTGCTATTCCCATTTAATGACTATTGAATTTTTAATCTCTAGAAATTTCATTTGATTTTTAAATATCTTTTATTTCCTTCCTCACTATTTTCATATTTTCCCTAAAAAACTGAATATAATTTTAATAGCTATTGTAACATTTTTGTCTGAACTCAATGATTGCTTGTCATTTCTCAGTCTGTTTCTACTGAATGATTTTTCCCCTAGTTATGATTATGTTTTCTTTCTTCTTGGCATGTCTAGTGATTTTTGTTGGGATACTGGACATCGTAATTTCACATTGTTGAATGACTGGATTTAATCTAGCAGTAAATTAAATTGCTTGCAGTTTTATGAACTTTTTACTTTTATTTTTTATTATTATTTGTATTGTATGATCCATGGGTTTTTCCTTTTTGTTCTCCCTGTTTTTTTTTTGTAGGAGGGCAGGAATTAAACCTAGATCCTTGTATTGTTAGACCAGGATGAAAGAAAAGACCACTGACTCCAATTAAAATCAAATTAAAGCAAGCTTATTATTTGGACCGGCTGGGCTGCCCCTCTCTCCCAAAACAGCGTGAACAAGACAGCAACCCCAGCTTTTCTGCAGCCCAGCTTTATAGCCCAGAAAGTTACACAAAGGGGGGTTACAGATAACAGAACTCTGACAAGCATCACACTAATGGTAGTTTACATTTTTTTTGCTGGCCCCAACATCAGAATTTATGAGGACCATTAGAGCCTCAGAGAGGGTCGTTGTCTGGCCAGGGAAGGCCAATATTTATGAGGTGTCACTAAAGTTTCAGAGAGGGCTGCTATCTGGTCAGAGAGCCAGGCATGGGTGAGTTCAAGGCACGGGCAGGCATTCCAAGCAGGTTCAGAATTTGCAGTAATTTATAGTAAAGCCGAAATTATCTTTTCATGGCTTTGTGGCGAGATGGCTCCCAATTTTAAGAAAAGATCAGGTTGGGTCTATCAGTATGTTCTATGCAAACACTACAGTGAGAGCTCCAGCTCCGGCCTTAGTTTATTTATTTATTTATTTTTAAAGAGGGGGGAGAGATAGATAGATAGATAGATAGATAGAGAGAGAGAGAGAGAGAGAGAGAGAGAGAGAGAATTTTTTTATATTTATTTTTTAGTTATTGGCGGACACAACGTTTTTGTTTTTATGTGGTGCTGAGGATCGAACCTGGGCTGCACGCATGCGGGCGAGCGCGCTACCGCTTGAGCCACATCCCCAGCCCCTTAGTTTTATTTTTAAGTTTGTTAGGGTATGTCTAAAGTAGAATTTAGTCTAAAGATACTGTAACACCGCTACTGAAGTATAGCCCTTTTAGGGTCTTTGCTGAATGCCTTCACTGATTAGCGAGTCTTCACTTTTGTGGTAGGAACTTCCATGACTTTGACCCCTTTGTGAGCCATGAGAATAATTCAGTTCACAATCACTCTATGTTTTGTGGAGTTCTATCCTAAACATTAATATTCAGCAAAGACTCAGAGGGACTGACACGTAAATTTCCAAAGCTCATTTTCTATACAGTGTCTTCTTTTCCAGGACTCTGCTCTGTAGCTTCCAACTCTGATCCCTGATCTCTGGCCCTTTGAACTTAGAATACCATGGTTGCTTGGGATTGCCCATCTCTGCTCTGTGGTATGGAATGCATGTCTCCTTGAAAAAGCTGGGTGATCACAGGACTCTCATTTGTTTTCCTTTTCTCTAAGACCACAATCTTGTGTTGTTTCATGTCTGATGGCAATTGTTTCATACATTTTGTTCAGTTTTCTAGTGAAAGCCACCTTATTACCTATGAATAAAATTTATAAGTGTTTTTCCCTTTCCCAAATTATTTGGTAAATCAGTTTTGTGCAATTGCATTGCTCTTATTAAAATTATTCACATCAGTTGGGCTTTGTGGTGGGTGCCTATAACCTCAGCTATTCAAGTGGCTGAAGCAGGAGGATTGCTTGATCTCAGGAGTTCAAGGCCAGTCTGAGCAAAATAGTGAGACTTTGTCTTAAAAAAGGGAAAGAAGTTATTAACATCTTTAAATATCATGCTGGCTAGAGTCTAGTATGGTGGCACATGCTGAGACAGAAAGACTCCAAGTTTGAGGTCAGCCTGGGCAACTTAGTGAGAACCTGTCTGAAAGGACAACCTAAGAAGGGCTGGGGATGTAGTTCAGTGGTACAGCGCCCCTAGGTTCAATACCCAGGACCAAAAAATAAACAAACCAAACCCCCACAACAAACAAACAATCCCTCACTGTGCTTAGAAATTAAAAATGTTAAATCTGTAAATGCAACAATCTAACTTCAAGATGAGGACAAATCCTGATAACTGAATATCTTCTATTTCTTTCCCCAGTCTTCCTTGCTTTGTCTCTAGCTAGTTAGAATTAGAATACGAATTAGGGAGGTGAGATTAGTTATTGAATAGTACTGTAATTTGCAATATGTCTATGGGAATTATTTAATCAGCTCAACAGATATCAATAGAGTGCCATTTGTGCTCTTGGGTTACAAGACAAATGGAAAAGTGGTGAGGTGATGGAGGGAGAGGTCAGAGTGAGGAGTAAGATATAATGCATGTTTCATGTATAATTGTCCAATGGGAGAAGAGACCTGTAAATAGGCAATCATAAAACAGTTCATATGGTACAATGTGTAGAGTAGAGGGCATATGTATGGGGGCAAATTGGGCATATGTTGTAGAGGAGGCAATATTTAATCTGGGTCCTAGATGGTAAGTGAAGTTTATCAGCAAAGAATAGAAGGAAGGCCAGTCCCATTACTGTAGACCCAAGGAAAAAATATTATGATGTGTGTTATATTAGGACATTTTAACAACTTTGAAATCAGGATGCACCTTACAATCAACGTAGGGCAGGTATCATTAGTAAATGTGACAGTTTCCACATGAACTATGCTTGAAAAAATGTATATTTTATTTAATCAGATGCAAAGTTAGATACACGTGTTGTGTTGTTTAGTCCCTATATTTCCTTATTTCATTTTGTTCCACTTGACCTAGCTTAGACTGAGAGTTGGTGTGGTTAAATGTTTGTATATTCATGTGTTTCTAGCTTGGTGTTAATTGTCTTTTTTTTGTGTGTGTGTGTGTTGCTGGGGATTGAACCCAGGTCCTTGTGCATGCAAGGCAAGTACTCTACGAACTGAGCTATATCCCCAGAAATTGTGTTTTTTAACATCATAAAAAATCTGTATTTTTTATTTAATGCTTTCTGCCTTAAGCATACCTTAAGCTATAACCAGATATAGTCAGATATTATGACTAAACTCCTGTCAGGCAAAGTCTATAATCCTAGCTACATGGGAGACTGAGGCAGGAGGATCAATAAGTTCAAGGCCAACCTGGGAAACTTTTTAAAAATATTAATTAATTTATTTGTTCTAATTAGTTATACATGACAGCAGAATACATTTCAATTCATAGTACACAAATGGATCACACTTTTTTCATTTCTCTGGTTGTACACAAAGTAGAGTCACACCATTTTTGTCATCAAACATGTACCTAGGGTGATGATGTCTGTCTCATTCCACCATCTTTCCTACCTCCATGCCTCCTTCCTGCCCCTCCCTCCCCTTTGTCCTATACAGAGTTCCTCCATTCCTCCCCTGCCTGCCTCCTGCCCTGTTATGGATCAGCATCCACTTATCAGAGAAAATATTCAGCCTTTAGTGTTTTGAGATTGGCTTACTTCATTTAGCATGATATTCTCCAACTCCATCTGTTTATCTGAAAATGCAATGATTTTATTCTCTTTTAATGCTGAGTAATATTTCATTGTTTATATATACCACAGTTTCTTTATCCATTCATCTATTAAAGGGCATTCAGGTTGGTTCCAAAGTTTAGCTATTGTGAATTGTGCTGCTATGAATGTTGATGTGGCTGTGTCACTGTAGTATGCTGTTTTTAATTCCTTTGAGTATAGACCAAGGAGTTGGATAGCTGGGTCAAATGATGGTTCCATTCCAGGTTTTCTAAGGAATCTCCATACTGCTTTCCAGATAGGTTGTACCATTTTGTAGTCCCACCTGCAATATATGAGTGTGCCTTTTCCCCCACATCCTCGCCAACATTTATTGTTGTCTGTATTCTTGATAACTTCCATTCTGACTGGTTTGAGATGAAATCTTGAGAGCAGTTTTGATTTTCATTTCTCTAATTACTAGAGATCTTGAACATTTTTTCATATATTTATTGATTGAATGTATGTCTTCTGAGAAGTGTCTGTTCAGTTAGCCCATCATATATATATATATATATATATATATATATATATATATATTTTAGTTATTTATTTTTTATGTGGTGCTGAGGATCAAACCCAGGGCCTTGCATGTGCTAGGTGAGCACTCTACTGCTGAGCCACAACCCCAGACCCCAGTTAGCCCATTTTTTATTGGTTATTTATTTATTTATTTTTTTGGTTTTAAGTTTTTCTTTTCTTTTTTTCTTTCTTTCCTTTTTTTTTGGTGCTGGGAATTGAACCCAGGGCCTCGTGTATGCAAGGCAAGCACTCTACCAACTGAGCTATCCCTTCAGCTTGGTGTTAAGTTTTTTGAGTTCTTTATATATCCTGGAGATCAGTGTTCTATCTGATGTGTGTGTGGTAAAAATTTGCTCCCATTCTGTTGGCTCTTTCTTCACCTCACTGTTTCTTTTGCTGAGAAGAAGTTTTTTAATTTGAATCCATCCCACTTATTCTTTTTTAAGTATTTTTCTAGTTGTAGATGGTCACAATACTTTTATTTTATTAATTTATTTCTATGTGGTGCTGAGAATCAAACCCAGTGCCTCATACATGCTAGGTTAGTGCTCTACCACTGAGCTACAACCCCAGCCCCCATTTATTGATTCTTGATTTTATTTTTTGTGCTTTAGGAGTCTTGTTAAGGAAGTCGGATCCTAATCTGACTTGATGACCATTTGGGCCTACTTTTTCCTCTATTAGGCACAGGGTCTCTGGTCTAATTCTAGGTCCTTGATCCACTTTGAGTTGAGTTTTGTGCATGATGAGAGATAGGGGTTTGATTTAATTTTGTTGCATATGGATTTCCAGTTTTCCAAGCACCATTTGCTGAAGAGGCTGTCTTTTCTCCAATATATGTTTTTGGCACCTTTGTTTAGTATGAGATAACTGTATTTTTATGGGTTTGTCTCTGTGTCCTCTATTCTGTACCACTGGTCTACAAGTCTATTTTGGTGCCAATACCATGCCATTTTAGTTACTATTGCTCTGTAGTATAGTTTAAGGTCTGGTATTGTGATGTCATGTGCTTCACTCTTCTTGCTAATGATTGCTTAGGCTATTCTGAGTCTCTTATTTTTTCCATATGAATCTCATGATTGCTTTTTCTATTTCTATGAGGAATGTCATTGGAATTTTGATTGGAATTGCATTAAATCTGTGCAATGCTTTTGGTATTATGGTCATTTTGACAATATTAATTCTGCCTGTCCAAGAACAAGAGAGATCAGATCTTTCCATCTTCTAAGGTCTTCTTTAATTTCTTTCTTTGGCATTCTGTAGTTTTTATTGTAGAGGTCTTTCACCTCTTTTGTTAGGTTGGCAACCTGGGTGACTTAATGAGACCCTACTTCAAAATAAAAAAATAAATAGGAACTGAGGATGTAGCTCAGTGGTAGAGCACCTCTGGGTTTAACCCCTGGTACTACTGACATTAAAAAAAAATTGCACTCTTACTTTATTTCATTTGCTTTTGCATAGTGCCTTCTTATCCACTAGTAGTGCTTGTAAATTTCACATAAGACAAATTCAAACTCAGAGTATTGTCTTCCTTCTGCAGCTTGCCTTTCTGGGTGAAGGAGAAGGCCAATAATTTGAAGAACGAGATAAGAGAGGTGGAGGAACTTGACAACTGGCAGCCCGCAGAGCCCTTGTTACATAGTTTATTCCATTTAGGTGGGTCAAAGAAACTTCAAAAAACAGTATAAAACTGGAGGAATCCAGAAGATCAGGCTTTTGAGAGACTTCACATGGAGAGGAGAGAAAACCAAGCCTCTCCTAGAATGGATGTGTCTACTGCCCAAGCTGGTCCCCTGGGCAGATGTCATAGCTGTGCATTGAGAGTTGAGTATATTGGTTTGATAACCATTAGTCTTTTTTTTTGGTTTGGTTTGGGTTTTGAGACAGGGACTTACCTTGTTGCTCAGGCTGACCTTGAATTTGAGATCCTCCTGCTTCAGCCTCCCGAGATTACATATGTGCACCACTACCCTGGGTCCTGTTAATTTTATAAGGGAACACAACATTTAACTTTGTGCTTCTATCCACAGGTACTTTGGACTTACCAAGACAATCCTGAGCAGAAACAGGCCCACAAACATGTACTGACTATAGTCTGGCGAGTTTCTTCATTGCTGTTTTTGACAATGTTCTAAATCAATCAAATGTTTGACTCTATTGACTCTGATGTGTTTTGTTTGTATTTTAAAAACTTTCAAACTTATAGAAAAGTTGCACGAATCATATAATGAACACTACATATCCTTTACCTGTATCCTACAATTATTAGCATTTGTCCAAACTTTTTTCTTTCTCTCTCATTACTCTTATTATTTTGCTGAACTTATATTTAAAAGTGATAGGGGGTGGGGTTGTGGATCAGTGATAGAGTGTGTGCCCTGCACATGTAAGGCACTGGGTTTGATCCTCAGTACTGCATAAAAAATAAATAAAGGTATTATGTCCATCTATAACTAAAAAAATTTTTTAAAAGAGTGAGTGACAGATATCATAACCTTTTACACTTATAGACCTGCATACTTCAACATGTTTTTCTTAAGATCAAGGTTGTTCTCTAATAAGTATATTCAGATATCAGATTCAAGGAATTAAACACAGATACAATACTACTAATATTTAGGCTGCACTTAGATATATTAAGTTTTTCTAAGGATGCCCTCAAATCAGTGGTAAAATGCAGATATTTTTGAGTGTTTTAGTCTCTTCAGACTTTTGTAATAGAATAATAATAAACTGGGTGGCTTATAAACAACAGGATTTTGATTGGTTATGGAAGCTGGGAAGTCCAGGCTCAAGGCACTGCAATTTGGTGTCTGGTGAGGGCCTGCCTTCTGGTTTATAGACAGTATCTACTTGCTGTGTCCATATGCTGGAAGGGGCAAGTTAGCTTTCTGGGTTTTTTCTTTCTTTTTTTCTTTTGATACTGGGGATTGAACATAGGGGTGCTTAATCTCTGAGCTACATCTCCAGCTTCCCCACCCTTTATAAATTTAAAAAAAATTTTTTTTTTAAGTTGCTGATGGACCTTTATTTTTTATTTGTTTATATGTGGCACTAAGAATCAAACCCAGTGCCTCACACGTGCTAGGCAAGTGCTCTACCACTGAGCCACAACTCCAGTCCCTATTTTTGTTTTAGTTTTTGATTTAGGGTCTCAATATGTTTGTAAGGCTGGCCTCAAACTTAGGATCCTTCTGCCTCAGCCTCTCAAGTCCTTGGGATTATAGGTCTGCACCACCATACCCAGCCTCTGGGGTCTCATTTATAAAGGCATTGATTGCATTCCTTCCCAATGGCCTCACTTCCTTATAACATCATGTTGGGGGTTAGATTTCAACATATAAGTTTCAGGGGAAACATAAACATTCAGACCACAGCATTATTTTTTTTGGTAAAACTATTCTCATTTTATTTATTTTTCTTCTCTTTCTCTCTCTCTTTTTTTTTGCCAAAACTTATTCTCATTTTATTAATACTTTGGTATTTTTCCCAATATTCACTTGGTACATGCTGGAGAAATGTCAAGGCTGGATGTAACCAGGTCATTAATAATATTGCCCTGGAGCTCCATTCCCGTTCTGGTATTGTCTGCCTACACAGCCAAGCAGGGTGAGAGCTCTGTGATCACTGTTATGGGTCTTAGGACCTCTCATCAATTGTACGAGAAGCTACCACAGTGGGAACAAAAGTCTACCATGAACAGTCACACTACGACAAAGCCACACTACTGCTTCTTGGCATGCTCATGGCTAATCTCCTTTTCCACTAGGAAGACCCCATTGGTTGGTCAATGAGCACTACAGACCTGGTCTCATTATCCCCTTAGTGTGTCCAAGTGTTCACTATTTATTGTCTCTAGAATACAGAATGCCAAAGCTGGGCTAAGTACAAAGAGTGATGGAAGTAGGTTCAGAACCCAGCACATTCATGCTACCTTCACAGGTACCATTAGACTATTAGCAAAGAATGCGGGGCTTACCGCCTATGACTGTGCTGACTGCTCCTTGGGATGAGATCAGCACACACCTGTGCTAATTCTCTGACCCCTGGGTCTCTCCCCACAACAAAATCCAGAAAAGAAAATATAACCATAACTAGGAAACAAAAAAGGGGGTTGCCAACATGTTAATCAGAACATAAAAAAGAATATATAAAAAAGTCAACTTTAACATCCAGTGTGGGTGGATAGCAGAGGACACAGTATAGAGCAACACAAAAGATTCTGCAGGAACTTCCTGATGGTATTTTCTAGGTGGCACGGAAGTTGCTCTCAGATGATACTCTGCTCTTTTGGAAGGAAGGAGTCCTACAGAGTAAAGGTGTTAAGGAATACAACCTCAATATAGTTTTGTAATGCCAGATTTGTGGGACCCCAATAGACCTCCAGGAGCCAAATCTGATGCAATCACACAAGAGTTTTTATTGCAAGCTCGAGCCTGGACTCACAACCATTTCTGATGCAGCGGTCCTGAGGAATAAGTCCTAGTCCTTTGTTCAATGAGGATTTATAGTTTTTTGGGGGATACTCTATGCATCACAACATCACACAGCAAATCATTTCACACTTCGGGAAAGTCAAACAACAACTCTTAACATTGATTATTAGCACATTCACTGGCGGGAACAAGTTGGATAGGGGTGATTGGTTAGTACAAGAGGGGGATTCGTTTGAACTGATTGGTTTAATCCACCAGGAGTGTTTTAATCCGTGAGGAGTGTACATGCCAAACAACATGGTTTTCCAACATGTTATCTATCACCATAAACTACTGGGGGGTCATCTGGCATCCTAGGTATTTTCCCTGTCTCATGCTGATTGGGGGTTGCTGAGGGTTGCTATGGGTCCTCACCTAGCCTAACTGAGTCAGGGATGCTTGGCGCCTGAGATCTCTCCTGTTATTTGCAGACAAACAACTCAGCTGGGTGGGTAGTGTTTAGGAGTGCTCTGTGGGTTTTTCCAAGGACAAAGGTCACGCCCCCTTCCTTGGACAGGCTTTGCTCTAAGGTAGGCTGGTTTCTCAAAAATGGAGTCTCAACAGTTTCTCAGTTTCAGAAGGTTTGTAGTAGGCTCTAGTTTTCAGAGGTCTCTAAGTTCGTAGGTATTATTCTAAACTTGAGTAACTATGATAACACACACACACACACACACACACACACACACACACACCTCAAACTATTAAATGACTGGAGGCCTAGAGCTCAGGACTAAAAGTCACCCCTAGAAATTGACCATTTCTATTGGGTTTGATGTTGTCTCTGGGGCACATCTCAGTTGCCAGGCCTTATTCCATGGCACCCCAATAGCTGGCATGCCTCAGTCTGGCTGGGCACAAATCACGAACCACTCAAGCAAGAACAAACTTTATTTTTGAACTCCCCCGAACGCCATCCACGTGGCCCTCCCAGGGACACCACACATCAACCGGAACTCCCTCCACCGGAACTTCACCCACCAACCCGAACTCCCCAGGAATCCCTGCAAGAACTCCAAAGTAACGGGCACCTGAGGCGGACAGCAGGGATCTATATACAATTGAATACACAGCCTGTTTCAATCCAGCATCATCCAGTCACAGCAATTATAGACAGCTTAACTTAATTATCATCATCTTAATGGCTCACCTCTCAACCATTACTTCTGGCAAAATGCCCCGGGCCATTCCAACTCAGCTGTGGCTCTCAGCATCTCCCCCCTTCTGTTTAATTAAACACCAAGCATGTGGCTTGGGGATCGTGCCTGTCTTAGGTTGTCCAATACTACATATGGACCTTACCCATCACTGGATGAGCTGACCTCAAGGCGTCAGCCTCCTGTCTTAGGTTGGTACCATTGCAATTGGATCTTACCCGTCATTGACTACCGGTCCAGCATACAGCCATACTTGTGGATAGGCCTTTGCACCAGTGGGGAGTGAGGTTCTTTGCCTCACCTCTGTTGGCCCCCAAATTTGGCCTTTCTGATTTCTAAGTAATTTTTATTGTCTCAGTGACCTCTCCTGAAAACCCAATCCATGTCTGTCTGTTCCTTGATCTATTTGTATTGGTGCTGCTATACCTTGTTATTGTTCTCCTAATCTTTTTCCTTTCCTAAAACCTTGTCTAGCCATAATAGTGGGCACATTTGGATTGATGATATTTGTTAATGTCAAACCTAATTGATCTAGGACATCTCGTCCCCATAAATTTATGGGAAGATGATCCAATACATATGGCTGTATAGTTCCTTCACATCCTTCAGGATCCTTCCAATCTAATACCATTGCACTTCTATGAGGATTAGTTGCCACTCCTAGGCCTCGAAGCGTTTGAGTGGCTTGTTGTAATGGCCAATGTTTTGGCCATTCTTGACGAGAGATGATGCTAAGCTGTGCACCTGTATCCAGTAGCCCATTAAATTCATGTCCTTGAATATTTAGTTTTAGCATGGGGCGAGAATCTAAATTTAAAGAAAGCATAGCCCAATCTACACCTGTGGAGCCTAATTCCCTGGAACCTCTTTCTATAGTATGGCTGGAAAATTTATCATGTAGGCTGGGTATTATTAATATCTGTGCTATTCTATCTTTGTTAGGGTCTGTAAACAAGTCAAGATGGCGCCTGGCATTTTGCCAGAGGGAGTGGTTTGTGAAGTAACGCCAGCGAGCCATTAAGTGTGGAGATTCCTTATTGGTTGACAGCTGTATCTAGTTTGTTAATTAAGATAAGCTGTGTGAGATGTATATATACCCCTCCGGTCCTACAATAAACGGCTCCCACTCTTGCTGTATCAATGTACACAAGTTGCTCATCACCCCCCCAGTTATTTTGCTGCAGCTGGGCTGCGGCATATCTCCTGGTGAAATTACTGATATACCCCTTGGAGAACTGGCCATAATTTTTATTTCACCTTCATAATCGGGATCAATTACCCCAGGACTTATCATAAGTCCTTTTGGAGTAGAAGAACTGCGTCCAAATAATAAGCCTACTGTTCCTTGGGGAAGAGGTCCTTGTACCCCTGTGGGAATGATTTGAACTCCCATCTCTGGAGTTAGTACTGCTCTGGCGGAGGCGCAGATGTCCAGCCCTGTGCTTCCTCTGGTTTGTCTGATGAGGGATTTAATGGATAATGTGTCCTGGGCACTACCCTGATGGTGTTGCTGGGTTCCTCCATTGCCCCGTATATTTGTGGTCGTGGGCCTTGGAGCACTGGGCCCCCCCCTGTCCGGTTTTTGGCAATGGAGCCCGATGCTTTTCTCCACAATATCGTGGGTAAACACCTGGTCCTTGTCCGTTTTTTGATAATGGAGTACCCTCTATGGTGGTTTGAGAACGGCATTCATTAGCCCAAAGTCTCCCTCTATGGCATTGTGGGCAAATACCCAGTATTCTACCCCTTTGATACCTAG